ATTGGACTTTTAAACCGATTACAATGCTCCATGTAAACGCACCTAATGTCACAGGACAAGATTCTTGCTTTGATATTAAAAGCTTCTGTTTTTTATGTTAATGCTACGTGGCTTCTTGAGTCGTGTGGTGGTCAAAAATTATTTGTACATTACATTTTCAAAACAAGCGACGTTTCCCATAAAATTTAATTTTAATTTTGTTCGGTTTATATAAAGGTTTATCCTACCCCTCTCAAACCGATTACAATTTTAATCGGTTTGGGCATTTATATTCCGATTGAGGTGTTTATATGGAGCATTTTCATTCGGATTGGACTTTTAAACCGATTACAATGCTCCATGTAAACGCACGTAATGTCACAGGACAAGATTCTTGCTTTGATATTAAAAGCTTCTGTTTTTTATGTTAATGCTACGTGGCTTCTTGAGTCGTGTGGTGGTCAAAAATGATTTGTACATTACATTTTCAAAACAAGCGACGTTTCCCATAAAATTATTATTTTAGGTTGTGCCACCATGCAAAAGCTTGATTCAAAGCAAATCTAAAACCTAGCTGTGGTAATTATTGTGATTAAAAAAAGGTGTATATTAAAAGTCTGATCAGATTGGCCAGAAATAAAATGAACAATACAGGTGTTGATATTAATATAGTATGGGCAATAAAGACTTTCTGCTGCAAACGTGATTTAGGAACTATTCAGGATCAATATCTGTCCATGAGCTCACATTCCAGCATATTGCACCATGTTTTACATCAATCAAAAAAAAAAAAAAACCAGCTTTAAGTACAAATTAGAAATTTCCATCTTGCAGACTTTGAGATTGCACCATTTGAACCGAATTAAACGAGAGGTTTGGGGAACCACTATATTATGACCGACTTTTTTAAAAATAGGATTATTGCAATAAGAATCTGAGCAAAAACTTACCGATATGGTGGCCGATATATCGTGCATCCCTAGCATTAACATTTTAATAATTTATTGATAAACGTTGTCTTCGGCTTTAGAGATTAAATCAGCGACACTGACTCGTCATCTCCGCAGTAGTGGATGCACCCTGTATGCATTACATAATCTGAGAATATTTGTTTTCCATTTGACTTGGTTCAATTGAAAAGTAAACATTTCACTGTTTATAGATATATTTTTCATGTCTGTAAGGCACGTATACAAAGAGTTTCGAAGTGACGTGCTCAGGTTCACGGAGACCGAGACGGCAGAAAGCGCATCCTGATGCGTTCATTATTTTACAAAAGCACAATATTTTGTTGTTATTGTGAGTGCACAAAGATAAACGTAGAGTCTTTACAGATTACTCTTATCTGTATGAGCAAAAATGACGGAGTATTTTAAGAGCAAGTGACCGCCTCCATCTGTCATGCAACGAGCGCACTATTTTTCAGCTTCCACAGCTTCAATAGCGCACATTTCTCTATGTAATGTTGCAGCTACTAACACATTTCAGATGATAAGTCATATTTGAGGTCAATGAATGATGTTTGGATGAGCGTTTGGATGTCCTGCCCGAGTAGTTTTACCACACAGACCAGCCGTTAACGATCTATCCGTCACGGAAAGCGTGACTTCACCACTTCCTGTGGATTTTTGATTTTGATTTTTTTTCTGCGACTAATACAATTTTGGTCGACCAAGACTCTTCTGGTTGACTAACCATTAGTCGACAGCCCTACAAACTTGAGAGTGAATGAATGCAGGAATGGATTTGCTCTCACCTCCAAAGGAGAGAAGTCGTGGTTGACGAGGAAGGCCAGGCCGCCGACTGGAACGACCAGGAACTCCGCTCTGAACGTGTCGTGGTTGCCATCATACGTGGCCTTGAACTTCACGTATATCAGGTAAACCGTGGCATAGGCACATGCGATATAGATGACCTGCATGGGAACATGCAACAAAACAGTGTTACAAAAACAAAAGTCACAAAGTTTAAAAGTACACTTTTAAACTTTGCAGTCAAAAATGGCCACCATGGAAATTAAAAATATAAAGCTTTTTTTTTGTGGTACAATCTACAACTCAGTCATGATATCTAAAAATGATGTCTAAAATATATTTAAAAATGATAAATTAAATGATATACAATATATTATATATACATATATACACACACGCACCATGCATTGGATTTTTTAAAAAAAGTGTTGCTCTATTTTTAACAAACACTGTGTTTATATAGAATGTAATGATATTTTTTTAAATAATATTTGCACTGTTATATAAAAATAATTGATGCATAATTTAGAGATCAAAATGGTCTGACACCATGAAAAGCCCTCTAATAACACGAAATTTTAAAGAACAAATATTACAGAAACAAAATATTGTACCTTCTTTTAATTAAAAATAACTTCAGCGCAAATCACATTTAAAAAACAACTTCATGCACATTAATATTCTAGAGTAAACAAACTCTGATTGGCCCTTTTATTTGATTTCTCACTCTTTTTTTTTTATAGCACACAAATTCAACATATATCAAATATGACAGGTCCGTTGGGTTTGTGAAAAAGGCATGAATAAATGCATGTTTAGAACTTTAATCTGCTCCGCTTCACCTTCATGGTGGTGTTGTACAAAGAAATGAAGGACATGAGAAGGTCCAGATAGCGAGTGGTGAACACCAAGGCAAACAGAATCTGACTCTTCCCAGATATTCCTGAAAAACACACATCAACAACATCAATTTCAACAATGCATCGTCCTTAATGTGATCTGAAACCCATTTCGCACTTTCAGTTTGTTCTATAAGACATTAACATGAATAAGGCTGTTACAACATCACTAAAGCATGCAGAACTGAAGAGTTCTTGTACAGTAAGATCACAAAACAACGTTGCAATAAACCCAGAGAGAGACCCCTACAGTGACTGTCAAGAGTAAAATAAATAATATTCTAATAAGATCCTGCTGCCACGTCAGAGGTCAGAGCATGCAATCAGGATGAATGAATGAAGTCACTAGTTATCTACAGCCTGATAACCTAAATAGAGCACAACTCCAAAGTTAACATTCAGCTGGTTCAGATCACTGTTGCTTTTGATTTATACGCCATGCAACTCAATGCAACTCACTCGAAAACGAAACATCAGTTCACTGGAGTTATTCAAGAGCATTGCATCTCACATGCATGCATTAACTCTCATTAAACACCAACACTTGCTTATTCAGTCTAACTCACTCAAACCAGGCCTAGTGCTCGAGTTCACATCACAAACCAGTGGATCAGCTGCCACAAAAACAAATCACACAAACAGACTGACCAAATGTGAAGTTCGCACACTCAAAAAACAGCCCTAAAAAATGCACAGTGCGCGTTTTCTGCTCAAATCGCTGCGTTGCTCACCTGCGCACGACCTGGTTTTCCATATCTTCAGCAGGAGGATGATGATGGCTGCTAGATGGGAGAGGTCCCCCGTCAGTCTGAATACGTTCATGTTTCTTTGGATGTGATGAAGGGTTTGTTGAGATGAGTGCAGCGCGCGCTATAAACACGGCTTTCGCGACTGAAAGATGGCGAGGGCAGCGCGACGTGGCGCCTGACAGCGGGTTGGCTGAGCCTCAGGATGATGCTCGGAGTTCATCATTGGGAGGAGAATATCGCTGGATAGTTCATATATATCGATTGCACACACGGTTGTTTTCCTTTAGGGGCGCACGGAGGCTCCGAGAACCGGTTAAGGCTAGAAGGGATACTGGGCAGTAGAGCTTATGTGACTCTGGAGCGCAAAAGCTGTCTTAAAGGGATAGTTGTTCACCCAGAATCATTAGGATATTAAGTAAAGATCATGTTCCATAAAAATATTTTTTGTCGATTTCCTACCATAAATATATCAAATTTAAGAGCATTTTAAAGGCAGTTTTCTCAATATTTGGTTTTTTTTTTTGCACCCTCCGATTTCAGATTTTCAAATAGTTCAAATCTCTATAAAATTGTATAAAATTGTCATTGTATAAATCTCAATTTCAATGACTGGTTTTGTGGTCCAGGGTCAAATATGTTTTTCCATTGAGATTTTTTGGCTTGAATTTCAAAACTGGCTTCATTCCAAACATCAATACACCCTTTGACTCAATTAAAGTATTGTTGAAGGATAAGAACCTATAACTCATTTTGTGCAAACACTTTATTCATAGATGTAAGTTTTTAAAGGTTAAACCCCACTTCAGCGGATGGAAGAATGAACTGAAGATATTTAAGTCTCTTCAATACATAATGGACAGAAACGTCCAGAAACTCTTATATGCTTTTGAACTTGTTTTTGTTGTTAGAATAAGCCCTTCGCACATCTTTATTATTATTATTATTATTATGCTTTATCTTTACATTGTTGTTGTTTTTTCTTTTGTTTCTTTCTATTTGCTGTATCAACGCTAATAATATGTGTTCAGTTGTTGAAATGTGCTGTTATAGTATGTATTTCAACTTTATGTCTTATTTTTAAAAAACTACTCTGGGCATGTGCTCATCAATGTAGCGTAATTATTTGCCACACTGCTGTACAGCAATAATGACTGTTTTTGCATTATTTTAAGAGGTAGGTTTAGGGTTGGAGTAGGTGTAGACATTAATAAAGCTAAATCTAATAGGTAGAAAATGTAATTTATTGCTAGCTTAAATTACTTAAATTGCTTAGAAGGCCACAACCCCGAAAGCCGAGGCGCGTTAAATCTCACGATGATTTTTGTATTACTGGACTAATACAAAAAAAAAAAAAACATTAGATGATTTCCAGCATTTGAATGGTAACTGCGAATCAGCATAATACATTAATATAAAATACAATTATTAGGCAGTAATCGCAGTCGACTGTGATTGGTCCGCTCTGATCCACGTGGAGAAAAGTAACAAATGGCACGTGACAACAGGAGTGTTTTTAGTAAGCCCCGCCTGTTTGGACTCCAGTCTTGTCGATTTCTTCCCCTCTCGTTTTTTTTTGTTTTTGTGAACTTGTGGCCTGGGAAGGGTGTGTGGGAAGTTTGCTGGATCCTGCTCTAAATCTATTCAAACACACCTAAACCAAACGAAAAAGATATTACATCCGCGCGCGCATGCACTCCATTGCTTTGCCAGAAATGTGTTTCTCTGTCACTTCTCATTTCCAGCATAATGCAGTTTATTTGATTTTTAACCCCATTGTTTTTATGAATGTATACTAGAGGGAAAGTTTATCATTTGAGTCCAGGATCAATCCAGATGCATATGAAATACTAGTTTGTTTAGCATAAAAAAAAGAAGCTTTATTTAAATTAGCTTTCATCTTTCATTTTAATAAGTTAATTTGTCTTATTAACATACAGAAGATAAACTAAAACATATGCTTATCTCATCATCATGAATACGGTCAATACTAGCGAAAGCTGAAACCAAATACTGAGAACAAACGTAGATTTATTGCACAGTAAACATATTCAATACAGGACAATACTTGATTTAAAACATTAAAAATATGTCTACAAACAGAACATCACATTCCGTAATTAACGATTATCTACATACATGTATGTTGAGATGTTTTGTGTTGTGCACAATATAATTTTACTTATTCATTAAGAAAAAAAATGGTCTTATATTGGTCCTAAGATGTTTCTGACAACTCGTACATCACGTGAAAAATTCACTACAAATGCAGAAAACATAAGGGGAGGCACAGAAGGAGATTTCGAGTTTAATAGCTACCGCTCTCTATTAGATATGATCTTTTTTTTATTTTTTATTTCCCCCACAGGAAACACCTCACACCAGCTGTACTGCTACACTTGTAGTACAATTACTGCACTGTTCATTAGTTGCAATAAGATATAATAATTTGTTTCTCAAAGATTTCATTTTCCTGAGACGTAACAGACAAGAAGCATCATTCATCTTAAACGAAGCCCTTTCATTTCCGCCGAAAGTTCATTCCTGAGGTTTCAGCACGAAGACGGCGTCATCCAGCATGTAGTAGTCCTTGTACATGTCTCCTTCACACAGATACGGCAGGCGAGTGACGGCCTCCACCTCAAGCCCCACCTTCAGGAACACGTCTGTGCTCAGGTGAGTCACCTGCTCCTCCCACGTTTTGCCTTGCACCTTGACGTGTTCCTTGGGTCGCACCCAGGTCCCGCCTTAAAACACAACAGAATCAGTGGAAAAAGTACAGTCACAAATTAAACAAGAAATACGAATGCACAGCAAAAATAAAAAATAAAATCTTTTAAAATCATGTTGAAAACACATAGTTTGATAATATGTTACAACTGAATACATATTTTACTTACACCCTGCAATGTGCACATATATATATTTTTTGTAATATTATTTTTATTACATTTTCTTGAAACACAAGACTGACATGTACATACCGTGTCTGTAACAATACTTACGATGTACAGAAAAGAAAAGAAAAACAAACAAACACTAGGGGCTCATATTACATAAAAAGTGTAATGCACAAAACCAACAAAGGGTTAATACAGTCTGTACTTTGGAAGATAGATTTAATAATCCATTGCAAACAATAACAACCGCAGTTGTAAGGGGTTAATATAATGCACATTAAAATATATTTAAATACCCAATCAAGAATTTTGATCCTCTATTATATTGTTAATATCCCTACATTCAATAAATAATAAAAATGGACTCCAGATTTTCTTAAATTTAGCTCGTTTACCTTTAAGCATATAGGTTATCTTTTCCATTGCAATGCATGAAGATATTTCTCTTAACCAATGAGTTATAGTAGGCCTTTCTGTCTTTTTTCCAATAAATGGCAATGAGCCTTTGGCCATGTAAAATGCACATATCTATCAATACTTGATTCTCCTTTTTAATATTCCAATTTTCTGGATGAATGCCAAGAATGAAAACCCCTGGATCTATTGGTAACCTTATTGAAACCATATGCTCCATCATATTTATAATTTCTTTCCAAAACTCTTTTATTTTGTCACATTCCCACATTCAGTGAATTAAGGTACAAATGTGCACATAATAATCAATATAAAAAAGGTAAGCAAATTTAAGCCAAAACATATATATATATATATATATATATACACATATACATGTAATTATAATATATTTTTTCTCAATATAATGTAGTAATATAATTATTACATTTATTAATTATTCATTTTTTTCCTTATTCATGCAATTATTCATAATTATGAATTAAATAAGTACTTATTCTTTTTAGAATTAATCATTCTTAATCAAATAAAGGGTTCTCTATCAGATAATTTCCCATTTTATAGTGTTATTCTGCATGTTGGTTGACTTCAGTCATCACATGACTTAAATCTGCTGCACAAAGGTTTTTCCAACATTAATATTATTTTAATAAAAGTTAACCATTTTGCTGTATAAGAAATAATAATAAAAGATCATACCAAAATTCTTCGAGAATCGTATTCTTTCTGTGAAAAAAAATCAAAATTTAAATGATTTCTGAATTAAAATGATGAGTTTTATTGTATGTAATATGCATAATGCATATTACATTTTGATAAATTACAATAGACAAAATATGGTGTGAAATACTGATTTCACTGACAAATCATCTCTTACAAGATGTTAGCTCTGCAAGTGTGCTAATCTATAATAAAGCAGCTAGCAGCAGCCACTCATGAATTGCTCAGTAGTTGTGGTTGCAGCGATCGTCTTACCCATCTCTACATACGGCTGAAAGGGCAGCACAGCCGCTAAGACGAGGCGTCCCGTGTGCGGCACCAGCGATCTCCTGATGTCCTGCAGCAGCTGCAGCGGCTCGTCGCAGCGGTCCAGCAGGTTCAGACAGCTGATCAGATCGTACTGGAAGCCCGTTCGGTGCCACTCGTCGAGTCCCAGCAAGCTGGAGATTCAAAGTCAAGCACAGGCTCAGTTGAATCATCTCAGTTCATTAGCATTTCTACTAGGGATGCAGCAAAATGAAAATTTTTGGCTGAAGCTGAAACCAAACAAAATGAAACACTGGGCCGAAGACGGTTTTTCAAGTCCCCCCCCCCCCCCCCCATCCTT